TAGGACATCAGTGTCAACTACTTCCTCTAAATGGAAATGCTCTTGCCTCCAATAACTCAACACTTTTGGGAAAAATTTTCCTTTTTCTTTGAGGATTCCATCTGGACATTCTTCCCTGACTTACTTAAATCTTGGTCTTACCAGGGATCCCTCTATGACCTCCTCTCTTCTCCTCTTTGCACACTCTTCCTGGCCATATCACGTTTTCATGGTGTCACCTATAGATCAGGTTGCCCATGTCTCTAGGTCTTGCCTGTGTTGAGCAACTTCCAACTGGACTGCTCCAACCAAATGTCCTCCAGCCTTCTCAAATCAACCTCAAATATTAAACAAGCTCTGCAGCGCTTCTCCCCACACCCCAACCCAGCCCTCCTGAGCCGTTCCCTCTCTCACCAATTAGATACTAATCATGTTAAAAAAAAATGTTTTTAACTCTCTCTTTCCCCTACCCATTGCCACCATCTTAGTCCAGGCCCCCACTGTCTCTGGCTCTATCACGACAGGACCTGCTGACAGCTCCTGACCCTGGCTGCCCCATCTGCACATTCCCGAGGTAGCAGCAGAACCTGCTTTTAAAACATTTCAAACATGTTCATGTGGTATACTAAGAGTCATGGTGCTCATAGGGCAATGCCATGAAATACTGTGCACTTAAGTTAGAGATAATTTTACTAGCAGAAAATACTGTTAATATAATACAGTAGATGGATTGATGGATATTATTTAAATTAATTTTATTTCTGAATTTTTCTGTCACTTTCATGTCCTTTTCATTGGTTTATTGATTGCTGGCACTTGCTAACAGACATTAAAAGTTTAAAGAAATAGAGAAGAAAAACAATTGAACAGCTATCCTTATTTTTTTTCTCTAAATTAGGAGATTATGACTGCTTGACTCTGAGGGGTACACCCAGTTCTCCATGGGATCAGAGTTCTAGAACTACTCTTAGAATATATATTTCATCATGTTACTCTCCAAGTGAAACCTCTTCAAGGGCTTTCTATCACCTAAAGCCCAGACTCTGACATGGCTCCATGCATCCCTTGTGGTGTAGATTGGGCTCTAGCTGCCTGTCTAGGTTCCATCATGTCACTCACCCACCTGGCCCAGGCCCCAGCCACATCAGACCACACAGTTCTGTGGAGAGGAGGGCACGCCACTCCTTGGACCTTCATGCCCACCATCCCCTAAGTCTGGAGCCCCCTTCTTCTGACAAGGCAGATGAGAAGACAAAGAAACGGAACAATTGTGAAGATATGTGACAGCAGAGAGCAGGATGCCTGAAGCAGCCCTGTCTGGGGCATTACCTGCCTCCTGGAACAGCTGGGTGCAGGGGTCTCCGGCTGCTGGCACTGCCTCCGGCCCCAGCCTGTTTCTGCTGTGGCCTCTGGCCACCCACCGGGGCTGCTGCTCCACAGTCCTCTTTCCCACCGGCACAACAAACTCACTTTTGTTTCCAGTTAAGCACCAGGGGAGGGGTAGGGAGCGGAGAGGAGGGAGGGGGAGATGAAAGAAATGTGAGAGAGAGGAAGAAGGTATGAAGGGCTGGGTGTGGGGTCGGGTGGAGAGAGGGTTATATAGGAGAGCGAAAGGAGATATGGTACATGAGAGAAATTTTGTGTGAGAAAAAGAAAAACTATACTGAGAGTGAAGAAAAGTGAGTGAGAGACGAGTAAGAGAGTGTGTGTTTGTGGGTGGGGGGTGGAGAGAGGAGCCACCTCTGTTGCCTTCAGAGAGAAGGCTCAGTGGCTGCAGCTGAGCCGCTGAACCCAGATAGGCAGCGGGTCTCGGCAGCAGCAGGCGGCTGTGGGCCTGGGAGGGCCCTGGAAGAACTGCCCCTTCTTCCCGCCCCCATGAGCCCTAGCAGTGCGGCCGGGGCTCCAGGAGCGCCCAGGCACTGGCTGTCAGGCCCCTTATAAAGGCAGAGGTAGGATTTGCCTTGAGACTCCCAGGGGCCCCTTCAGAGTCTTGGCCACAGGTGAGTTGGCTGGAGAGTGCCTGGCAGGTGAGTGGTTTTCTCAGTCACAAAGCCCAGGGCTGGAGGTGGAGTTGTTGGGGGAGGGTTTCAAGCAACCAACAGTTGGTCAGTAATGTTCCATGTAGCTGTTTTCTCTCCTTCCCCAACTCCTGATCCTTTAAAACCCTAACTCCTGATTTGCTCCTTCTTCATCCACTTCTAAGACAAAGTGCCAAATGTCATTACTGGGTGTTTCTGAGGGCCCATAGACAGTGGGAGCTGGCCACTTCAGGGTGTGTGGCAAACTCCCCTGGGGAATTATTTTTGCTCTGCTGAGAAACTCCTAATCTCCTGGGTTTGGTTCAATAAGTGCTTACTGAGGACTAAGAATGTGCCAAGGTTGATTAGAGGTCACTGAGTGGCTGCAGCTCCAGAGTCCTGAGTCCTGAATTTGCCTGGACTCAGAGCTGGGAGGGAGCTTAGCAGTCATCGAAGCCAAACCCTTCTTCATTTCATGGGTGAGAAAACCAAGACCCAGTTTGCACCAAGCAGGTCCCCCTGGCCTCCGGCCCCAGGTTAGGGGAGCCTGGAGCAGAGTGAAGTCAGCTGGCATTCTCTACCCCACACTCAGCACCATTTTGGCTGGCTCCACTTACCACATTTTCATACCCAGGGCTTGAGGACCATTTTAAAGCTGAGAAAACAGAAGCAAGGGTCAGGATTGCGTGCTTAGATGCTGGACTCCAAGTGAAAGCCAGGTTCATAGGAATTCCTGTTTTTGTGGGTTTCTCAGCAGGACCAGACTGTGAAGGGCTGGGTCTTTCACAAGGGTCCAGTGTGTGGTACACTGTGGCTGAAGTCGCCCATCTTGTCCTCCTGGACACCACTGGGCAATCACTGTGTGCTATACTGAGTCAGAGTCTGTGGGTGACCCTGACACCCTAGAGATGTGCCCAAAGAGAGAGAACCAAGGATGCCAGAGGATTCTCTCTGTTCAAGTGGTGTTTTAAGAGCCCAGACCTGTGTTCATCTCTTGACGCTGCTAATAGGACTATGGCAAGACACTGAGCTCTCTGAGCCTTAATGTTCCCATCTATAAAGTAGGAGTAATCACCGCTACCTCACGGACTGTGGTGGTAATTACATGCAATCATAGATGTGATGTGGCTGGCACAGTGCTTCATGGATACTGGTCACCTGGGACATGCTATTGCCATGTCGTTCCCCACAAGCCTGACACCTTCATCTCTATTACAAGCCACCAACCTGGCCCTTCTAGACATTTCAGGGGCTCAGTCCTTTTCTGCACCTAAATACTCACACTACTCCTGTGATAACCCCTTGTCCCTCCACCTGAGAGCCCTCCCTCTGTCTGCTACTCCCTCTGGTGCCTGGGGAGTTTAGCACACCACATGTTGGGCTGTGGATCAAGGTGGCTCTAAGGCATTGTGGGCACCACACAGATGCAGCACGTCAGAAGTTAATCCACGCAATGAGGAATGCCACTGGGAGAGGCCCCTCTGGTGCACAGCTCACAGTGAGAGTTCAACTGTGGGCATGTACTGAACCAGCAGCAGCTGGGAGAAACACTCCTCAGCAGGAACAAGTGTTGGGAGGTACACTAAAAGAAGCACACTAAAAGTGCTTTTATTGGATGGGGATGAGCTAGTCATTCGGTGAGCAAAACACAAAATTATGCAGTGGACAGCAATCCTTCTACTCCTAGTAAAGACCTGGGGGTACTGGGGTGCCTCAGGAAATCAGCATGAAGATTTGCTCTCAGGTTCCTGGCTCTGCTGGCTTTTCAGAGGCTTCCTCTCTTTTAGGATCCTCATGAATCTCCGGACAGATTTTCCAGGCCAGGGGCAGTGCTTCTTATCACGCTGCTGGCTCCCAATGCAGGACTCACACAGCAGGGGCATTCAATAAATATTTGCTGGGTGAATGAATTTCACTGATTAACACTCATGAGCATATCAACTGGGATTAACCTCAGCAAGGAGAAGAGCCAAAACAGCAAACTAGCACTAGGGGTGAACCTGGGGGTGGGGTGTACTTTGGGTAGCTCAAGGCCACAGAGTACTGGGGAGCAGGAGACCTCAAGAGATTTTTAAAATCATGTTTGTCATTGTGTGAGGTGGGTCTCAGAGAGAAGGCTTAGAGGACACAAGTTCTAGTTTCATGGGCAATAAAGTTCTTTTCTAGAAAACTGTTCATATATTCCAAATGTGCTGTCTGAAGAAAGGAAAAGGAGAGAATTTGCCCATTTGTATTGCTTAAGGGAATCCCTCCTGTTGAAGGTGATTTCAGGCATGTCTGCCAGCCCATGCCACCCCCAAATGGACCTCTGATAGCCATGTTTATCTTGATGTATGGCCCAAACCCCGTGGTCATGGCTAACTGGACAGTTCACTGAAAGTTTGACCTGAGTGTGGCAATTTCGATTGGATCTCTGAAATAGTTAAGTGTTTTCTGGGAGAGAGAACACATAAACTGGAAGCCAAGGGTTCAGAGAGGTAGAAAATAAGAGGGTTCAGAGCAAGAATGATGCAGACCAATAGGAGAAGTGGGCAGAAGAGGCCACAAGTTTGAGAGGGGACTAAGAGGGTGCTGTGTCTATCTGTTGGGCCTGGGAAAACACATACACGCACATGCACACACACACTCCCCTCCTTCCCAGGTCAGCTCAAGGAGGGTCCTGACCCTCGTGATAAAATTACCTTCTTAATCATGGGTACTCCTCATAGATTATGAACTTTGGAAATGACAGAATTATTCTGAGAATTAAACCATGAAGCCAACACAGAATGGATTAGAACAGATGTCTCAAAGTCACCGAGAGGTGGGGACTCAGCCTGACTTTAAGTGTCTCTGAGTAGGGACGCTGGCCCACAGTGGCAGTGGAGCAGAGCTTGGCCTAAGAGGCAAGGCTGAACCATGTGGGATGTTGCTCACATTTTCCACGGAACCCTCCCACCTTTGACATGCCACGCCTGGACCCACCAGCAGGGGCTCCCCAGCAAGTGCTCCTCAAGGACTCACGGGTCCTGCTGACATGATTCACACAGCCATCCCTGCTGCTTCCTCCGCTCCCTGCTCCAGTCAGTTCCTGCTGTGGCTTATCCAGATGCAGGCCCCAGTGGACCTTTTGCAAGCTGGGAAGACATCCCCTCTGGTCTCTCTTCCTTTGAGGGTAACTGGGAACTGAAAACCCAATGTGGATGGATCTGCAATCTATGGCATAACATGAAAAAACAGGGAAGCAGAGTTACTAAAACCTGGCAGTTTCCCTTAGAACCCTCCAGTTAGAAAGAACTGCATACACCAAAGCAGGATGGAAGGCTAGGGATTCCAGGGAAACCCACTGCTTGGTCTTAACACAATTCCATATCTGAATTACTCAACAGTTGCTAGAAGGGAGACCCTTGGTGTTATCGTTAGAATTCCATTAGAATGAACAAGAACTCCCTTCTCCCCATTCTGGACTGTACAGAGCAGAGATGATCACACACAGCTATGACACCTCAAGCAAAAGGCTTGAGGTCATAGGTCGTAGATTTTGTCCAAAATGCCATGGATTTCCCTTTGGCTGTTAAGCATTTCCATCAAGGAAATTTTTCACGAATAATCAAAGACTATATGAAGTACTTGTCAGAAAGGAGAGTTAAATGTTTCTCAAAGGTATTTTAGTAAACTAGAATTTTTAAGAACTGCAGTTACCAAGAACCCTAATTCAGAATTCCTCTTAAGTTCCACTGCTAAGTCAAGTCCCCACAAAGTCTGTGTACAAAGACGCAGCTAGCATTCCCTCAGCTCTGAGGAAAGACATCCTACCATCAGTTTCTTACAAGGGTTGTCTTGAGTTAGTGAAAAATTTAAAAGATAACTCAGATTTTTTTTTTAGTACAGTTTTAGAGTTACAGAATAATTGAATAAATAGTACACAGACTTCCATGTATGCTCCCTAACCATATCCCTAACTCCACGGTTTCTCCTATTTTTTCAAATTGAGATATAATTGACATACAACATGAAAGAATTTAAGGTATATGACATAATCATTTGATACATGTATATACTGCAAACAATTACCACAAGTTTAATTAACATTCACCACCTCACATAGTTGTAAGTTGTTTTTCTTCTTCTTTTTTTAAAGATTTACTTATTTATTCATACAGAACTGGGGTACAGGCCAGAGATGTGGAGGGTGAAAGGATTCACCAGGGACAGATTGGGGAGCAGAACAGGCAGATCTTCAAAGTACACTGCTGAGGGGAGCAGTGGGCGGGTCAGGAGAGGTCTGCCATGCCATGTGGATCTCCTCCCGGGCAGGCGGGGATCCAACTCATGCGGAAATGGCTTAAGCTTTTAGTGCAGTGCTTTAACTTGCTGCACTACCAGGGAGGGCCAGTTGTTTTTCTTCTATGAGAAATTTTAAGATCTACTCTCTTAGTAATTTTCAAATATACAACACAGTATTGTTAATGATAATCACCATGCTATATATCACACCCCAGAATTTCTTTTATAACTGTAACTTTGTAACTTTGACTACCTTCACATTTTCCCTACCCTCTTCACCCCTCTGCCTCTTGCAACCACCAATCTGTTGTTTCTATGAGTCTGATTGTCTTGGACTCTACCTATAGTGGGCGCATATAGTATTTGTCTTTGTCTGACTTAATTCACTTAGCACCATGCCCTTAAAGACCATCTCTAGTGTCTCAAATGGCAAAGGTTCCTTCTTTATCATGACTGAAAAATAATCCACTGGCATGTATGTTCTTTTTTAGTCTTCTAATGTGATGGGTGACATGGATTTTCAAATGGTGAACCAGATTGCATATTTGAAACAAATTCCATTTGGTTGTGATGTGTAATTCTTTTTTCAGTTTGTCCAGTTATTTTTGTTGCTGTGAGGGTGGTGTGTTGACTTTATGTGACAAAATGGAAACCAGAAGTCCTAGTGTTAGATTTAATTGTTACGACTCTCTCTTCTAAAAATTTCTGCTTGTTTAGCCATAGGATGGACCACTTTTTGTTATTGTCATTGTGATGGATTGACTGATTAATTCTACAGTGAGCAGTAAAGACTATTGGCACAAACAATATCTTTAATTTATAATTTTTTGGTGTCAGGGTTCTAACTTGACTCACTCACCTGTTTCCTCTCTTGGACCTTTATTTAGTTTTATGAGAATAGACGGATGATGGAAAAACCTTTTTCCTCACATAAGTAGACTATGGTAAACATGTTTAAGAACAACTGACTTACAAAATTCATGAGGAATCCCTGAAATGCTTATTATTTTGAGTGTTCTAAAAAAATTATAACTGGGTTAAATCATGATGTATCTAGAGAACTGCCACAATTTGGCTTTTGTGATCCTACCCAACTTCTCTGTTAGGAAGTAAAACATAGTTACTAGATAACCACCCCCCTCAAAAAAAAATTATTTAAAATACATTTTAGTCTGTAATCTCAGGCTGACAATTTTTCCAAGGGCAGGGTGGTCAACCAATATGATTATTACTATTTTTGAAACCCCAAAACAGCACCTGAAATTTGAAAGTCTATAACACACTGGGAAATTAGACATTTTTTTTTTTTTTACATCTAGGTCAACATTAACTTGATTTATTTTCCCTGGAAGAGATGGAAGAGAGAGTTCAGATTCCTGAATTACAGTTTTGGATACATTCGCTGATTACAGATACCACATTGAAACCACATCAAGTTGAACCTTGAAAAGCTTGTCTAAGCCTTTTAGAGATACAGTGAGTGGTTGATATATTCCTAGGCACTAGAGAGTCCAAGTACCCAAATGTCAGGATCCAAATCTCTTGAGACCCAACTCCCCCCACTTCACTCCTCTGGACCCTTAGTCCAAGAGAGCTTGAGAGTAACAAAGAGTGTAAGGTGAAGGTTTTTATGAAGCGCAGTCTCTTCCTAGTGGACCTGTACCAAAATGACTTTGTTTTCTTTCTCTTCTCTTCTTCCACAGTGTGACTTCTCTTGCTCTGCACTGAATCTTTTAAGCAAGCTTTAATTTAAATTAAGCCAAGGACACCAATATTTAGTTGTAAGTAGTTCTAGTCTAAAGGCTTAACATTCTTGGATCCTGTAACAACAAATCTCTGCTCTAGACCTTTGAGACAAGGAATGGAAATGAGAAGCACCAGATAGATTAGAAAGGTCTCTACGCAAGAGTCAGTTTCTCTGGGTGCTCCCCAACTTGTCCTTCACTCACTCTGGCCATGCACATGCTTCTCTGGGATTAAGTGTCCTCATTCATAGTGTAGGAATTAAAGTCCTTTATTTACTGCCTGGGCAAGGTTTTTGAGAAGATAGAATGGGTTTGTGTAATATAACATGAATTATAAAGGGCTATATATTTGTTCCAGGAGTCAGGGGAGATGGCTGTCAGAAAAATAGCTCACTTTCTGACCTAGATCTAATTTGTCCCATTTTTTCCTATCATAATCACCAGACTATGGTTAAGTAGCTGGTAAACTGTGGGAAAAGGCTATACCTGCCCCAAGCTTCCTTCTTTGTTGTGTATGACCTCTCCTCTCACTGTGAACATCTTGCATTTAGGCTCAGGACAATGCCAAGTTCTAGTAATTCTCATGACATTTGTCTCCATCAACAGAAACAGTGGCTCTACTTATTCTGCAGCTCAGCACGCTTTCAGTGGGCAGTGAGACTAGTGTTTCACTCCAAGTAGCCTGTCTGGTTCCACCTTCATAAACCTTATGGCTGCCTCTCTGTAGTCTGCAGTATACTTAGGATTTCTGAATCTTTAGTTCTGGAGCAACAGAAATACCTCCACTCGGCCACCTCTTGCATTGGTTTTAACTTAGTTGCTACTTTTATAATCTGTAAGATGCTGATATTTGCCATTTATCATGAGTCGTAGATCATGTAAAATTAGATGACTGTAACTTTGAGAAGCTATGCCCTAATCCATACAGGCAAAGTGCCAGTTTCTTGTTTCTAGTGTGACCATGTGGCTTCTTTAAAACACAGTGAAAGCTGGTCCTACCGACCTATGGGAGACACTGTGGGTATGTCGTGAATAGGAGCCACTCTCTAGATTTCTCCTGATAGAAGTGCTATTAGAAAGACATTTAAGGAATTCTCAGTCCCTCCTGGGATGTGCATTAAGTTTTCAAGGTGACCTTACCTTCTTGATCCTGATGTGATCTTCTGTAGTTAGCAGGGTCCAGCTTCTCTACTCCAGCCTTCTCTTCCTCTACCTTCATGACTATAGGGTAAAAGATGAACACAGCTTCAAAATATACACAATTCCAAAGGGTAGGACTTTGAGGAGAAATAGTCAAATCCCACTCATAGTGGGAAACAATAATGTAATAAAAAAATTAAGGCAAGGGAATGTACAAATTGAAATAGTTCCCATATGTAGACTGTTCTTTTTCAGTACAAGTGAAACGTTTATGAAAAGAGCACATGTACTAAGCACCAGAAAAGCCTTAGTAAATTTCAAAGAATCTGTATCACACTTCTGTAGTGTATGTCACACATCTGTAGTGTATGTGTGTGTGGGTGATTGACTGAAAACTAATTTCTAATCATGGGATTAATAGGAAACTAAAAGGACCATTAACTTTTTTAAACTTTTAAGTTTCAATTAACACATCTACATACTGAAACTTGTGGGATACAACATACTTGAAGGAAGGAAGGGAAGAAAAAAGGATATAACAGCAATAAAAATTTAACTAAGGAGATAAGAAAAAGTACAAAAGAGAAAAATCCAAAGAAAGTAGAATAACATAAAAAAAGGGAAAAAAATAGAAAATAAGCACAGAAATGGTGAAATCCAAAAGGCAGTTATTTGAAATCATAAAGAAAAAGGAATATTCAAAAGTAAAAACATTAGGAATAAAAATGGTACACACTAAAAATACAGCAGAGATTTAAGAAATTGTTAAGTGATTGCCTTAAGAAACTTTGTACCAAAACATTTAAACTTAGACAATAACAATAGCTACCATTACAATGTACCAGGCAAAATTTACCATAAGAGACTGATACAGGGAGTTCCTAGAGGAGAAGCACCAGGTGCATCTTAGAGGATCTCAGTCCAACCTTCTTTCTACTGATTTTGTTCAGGGCAGCAATGTGGCCAACTAAAAGTAATCAATTTACCCTGATGCCATTCAGCAATTTTTAGCCAAAGAGATATAGGGGAAAATATGTGAAGATAAAACCTCTGCAGAAAAAAAAAACCCTGTATTTTTCCTTCTTATTCCTCTTTAGAAAGGACCATCAGGTATGCAAATAAAAATATAGTTTTCTCAGTTAAATTTGAGTTTCATATACAAAACAGGTATTTTTAGTATAAGTATGTCCCATGTCATATTTGGAACATATTTAAATTAAAAAGATAAAATTCACTGTAATCTGAAATTTGAATTTAACTGAGCACACTGTGTTTTTTTTTTTTTTTAAAGATTTATTATTTGTGCATACAGAACTGGGGTATAGGCCAGAGGTGTAGGGGTGGTAAGAGGATTCACCAGACACAGAGTGGGGAGCAGAACAGGCAGATCGACGAAGTACACTGCTGAGGGGAGCAGAGGGCGGGTCAGGAGAGGTCTGCCGCGCCATGTGGTCTCCTCCGGGACAGGAGGGAATCGAACTCATGAGGAAGCAGCTTTAGATTCTCAGTGCTGTGCTTTAACCTGCTGCGCCACCAGGGAGGGCCAGCACACTGTGTTTTTATCTGGAGCAGAGATTTGGTGCCTGGAAGAGCAGCAGTCATTTTGTCACCATGGGGTGAAGTTAACATACTAACTATGGATACAAGGGTGAAGAAGGACTTTTTCTTTCTTTTTTTAAGATGTGTTTTTCTTTATTTATGCATACAAGAACTGGGGTGTCAGCCCAGTTTGTATTTGTTGAGTTTCATCAGTTCTTTGTATATCTTTGTGATCAATCCTTTATTATTTGTATTATGTGGAAAAATTTTCTCCCCATCAGAGCAGTTATCTTTTTTTTTTTTTTTTTTAAAGATTTATTTATTTATACATACAGAACTGGGATACAGGCCAGAGGTGTAGGGGTGGTAAGAGGATTCACCAGACACAGAGTGGGGAGCAGAACAGGCTGATTGATGAAGTACACTGCTGAAGGGAGCAGCTGGTGGGTCAGGAGAGGCCTGCCAGGCCATGTGGATCACCTCCAGGGCAGGGATTGAACTCATGCTGAAGTGGCTTTGGCTTCTTAGTGCTGTGCTTTAACCCAATGGGCTACCAGGGAGGGCCCGTGACTATTTGTTTTATGTAATGTCTCTTTTGTTGTGCAGAAGCTCTTCAATTTGATGTAGTCTCTGACACAAGCTATGCAACTTATGTCAACTGACAAATTCGGGCAGATAGGGAACCCTCTGAAATACTGGAGCTTCCATTGCTGACTTATGTTATGACCTCCCTTTTTTGTATAATCATAATATCAAAAATATTATAGCAATATATTGCCTTAGTTCTAAATTGGCTACCTGGCCTGGGCAAAGTACAAGCTGAGCTGCTCCTGGGCAGGAAATTCCTTTGACTGAAGACAAAAGGCAAGCTCTTGGAGAGATAAGACCCGGAGCATCAAGACTCCTGGAAAGCTTCCTTGGTCTTTTGAAACAAAAAGCGAATCTTAGATCACTCCCAGGGCATAAAGACCCATGGACAATTTCCTAACATTATCAACACAGGTTTTGCTTAATGCATAACTAAGTGACTTCCTCTTAATTTACTCTTTTCCTAAACAATCACTAACTACTCTCTGCTAGTCTTAATTAACTTTTTCCTAAAACAAACACTAGCTACTTTCTTCTAACCTTAAGTTAGCCATTAGCTTAGCTTTAGACTATCACAAACGACTCTGCTAACACAATTTATTCCTTCCCTAGGACTCCTAAATCCCTTGCTAACAGCTCATCCTTTCCCAGACCCTTATCCTTTGAAGTCATAGTTAAACATCAGTATACATGAAAGCTATCACAAAGATGTGTAATATAGTATGCCATAAAGTAGCAGGAAGAGGATGCATTGTTCCCCTCTTCCTTTAAAACTTTTATGCTGATTTCTTATTAACTTACCTGATGTATTATTGTAACTAAATCTTGCTACACAGTATAAATAAAGACCTTCAAAAAGACAAGCAGGAAGACTTGCGCCCAACTCCCATTCCCGTGACTTCCTCATTTTTTCCCTTTTTCCCCTTTTTCTAGGAATCTCCGCTCACCGACGCCATTCCCACCTTGAGACCCTGCCTATTCTGCCCCCCAATAATCCGTGATTGGGGGCAAAGAGTCTCTGACAAGTCTCAACTGTTCATCCTTTCTTTCACTTTCCTCAGTTTGAGTGATGTATCTTTAAAGATGTTACTGAAATGTATGTCATTTAGTGTTTTACCAATATTTTCTTTTATATACTTTATGGTTTCAGGTTTTATGTCTAGTTCTTTAATCCATTTTGAGTTGGTTTTTGTGTATGGTGCAAGGTAGTAATCTAGCTTCTTTTTTTTTTTGCATGTAGCAGCCCAGCTTTTCCAGCTCCATTTGTTGAACAAACTTCTTTGTTCCATTACATATTCTTTGCTCCTTTGTCAAAGATTTTCTATCCATAAAGCTGTGGATTTATATCTCGGTTTTCTATTTTATTCCATTGGTCTGTGTGGTTCTTGTTCTAGTACCATGCAGTTTTAATTATTATGGTGTTATAGTATAGCTTGAAGTCTGGAAGTGTGATGCCCCCATTCCCTTTTTCTTATTCAGAAAAGCATTGGCTATTCAAGGTTTTTTGTAACTCCATATGAATTTCACCAGTATTTTTTCTACTTCTTTGGAAAATGTCATTGAAATTTTTATAGGAATAGCATTAAATAGCATTAACTCTATTTGATAGGATGCCCATTTTAATGATATTAATTCTTCCAATCCAGGAGCAAGGGATCTCCTTCTAATTCTTTGTGTCATCTATTTCTTTTAACAGTGCTTTATAATTTCCCTTGTAGAGGTCCTTCACCTCTTTTGTTACGTTAATCCCAAGTAGTTGATCTTTTCTGTTTCAATTATAAAAGGAATGGTTTTCTTGGATAAATGTTGGCGAGGGTGTAAAGAAAATGGAACACTCCTACTCTGCTGGTGGGAATGCAAACTGGTGCAACCACTATGGAAAGCTGTGTGGAAGTGTCTCAAACTGCTAAAAATGTAGCTTCCATATGATCCAGTAATTCCACTCCTATCTACCCAAAAGACACAAAAACAATAATTCAAAAGGACACCTGCACCCCTATATTTATTGCTACCCTATTTACAATAGGGAAGATATGAAATCAACCCAAATATCCAAAAATAGATGATTGGATCAAGAAGATGTGGTATATACACACAATAGAAATTTACTCAGCAATCAAAAAAGATAAACTCATGCCATCTGCTACAACATGGTTGGACTGGAAAAGATCATGCTTAGTGAAATGAGCAAGATAAAGAAAAATACTGGATGGTTTCAATCATAGCAGGAGTGTAAGGGATCAGGGAAAAAAAACATATATAGAAATTGTAATAAAGTAACAAAGAACATCAATGAAGAACTATAAACCAGAGGCATTCTACAGGGGAGGAGAGGGGAACATGATAAAAATTGGGATGGGAAGAGCACATGGGACTATGATGATGGCACATGGATGAAATGGTGTGGGAAGTCCACGGTTATTACAACTGAGATAAAAAATGTACAAAATGAAGAATAATGAAAAAAATATGTATATAATTACAAAATAAAGCATTAACTATAATCCTTAGGTCCTTTGTCTGTAACTGATCTGAGGAATAGTCATGTTACTACCATGCCAATGAAATTTAAATGGAAGTTCTGAATTAGGCTTCTGGAAAGTTCTTACTTGCCTAACAAAAAGTGCCAGAGACAGCTGGAATGCACATTTTACCCTTTACCCTCACTCTTTACTTGAACAGACCATGAGCACGAGACTTCTGGGTAAAGCAGCCATCTGGCAACATGACATGACAGATATGAACACTGATTTTGTTTATAATTTTTATTTTAATGGGGGGGTTACATTTTTTCTCTTTCTTTATATGCACACATTACATTCACCCTCCACTAAACTACACAGAACAGATTTTTTTTCATTAACTGAAAACAGTGATAATATATCTATATTGGAAAGATAAAGAAGAGGATATGGATGTGGGATGAGCCATCTAGTTACCTATCTCACTTTT